TCTACCACCCGTTGGGACGGGTGATATAGTGGAGGAGACTCGCACCATACCACCAATGGAGACGACAATCAGAACACGCAGGGCGCTCCACAGAATTGCGCCCCATTGGGCCCCTGAAGCCACAAGAACTGGCTTGTTTCGATGCGGAGGTTCATAGTGTTATAACAGAAGAGGCTGACATCTGGCAAATCAACACCGCCGTGTATAGCGTCGTCCAATCGGTTTCCGAATCGGAAGGACGAAATCCTGGCCTTGCGGTTCGGAAGATTGAACGGCGTGTACACAAGATGGAGGCTAAGATCACGTCGGCGAGACAACACGCGTCTCGTATCCAACATCTGGTCAAGCAAGAGTTCAAATAGGGTGGGTCACTTCCAGAAGGGGTGTATTTCAGGGTGATTCCCTCAGTCCCCTCCTCGTCTGCATCTCACTATTGCCATTATCCGTTGCGCTCAGAAACAATCGAGGGTATAACTGTGGCACCCTCGAAAACCGGAGGCACAAGGTCACCCATTTGTTTTATATGGATGATCTTGAACTTCATGCCTCTGGAGGGAAGGATTTCCATCAGTCCTTGAGGGTGGTAGAAGAGTACACGCATGCTATCGGTATGAAATTCGGGATAGACAAATGTGCAATGGTTCATCTCAAAAGGACGATGCGGGGACTACGGAGAGGATGTGCAGCTCGTAGATGGAAGCATCTCAGACCATCTGGATGTCGGAGAGACGTATACTTACCTCGGGGTGGAACAACGCCACCCACAAGAGGTAACAGCAGTGAAAATCTCTCTCCGCGGCAACACAAACTTCGACAGATCTGGTCATCGGAACTGTCGGGGAAGAACAAAGCTGCTGCAACAAATATGCATGCCGTTCCAATTTTACTCTACTCGTTTGGAGTAGTGAAGTGGACTCGGGAGGAGGTGTATCAACTCGACGTAAAGACTCGAAAAATGATGCATCTTCTCTATAGGAGTTTACATCCCAAATCGTCCGTTCCACTGTTGTTCTTCCCCCGACAACAGGGAGGCCGTGGACTTTTCAGTTTGGAGTGTCTACATGACAGAATGGTGCTGAATACAGCCTGTAAAGTCGTCAGGAGTTCGGATCCCTTTCTCTGCATGGTCCGTGACCATGAGAGAGCAGGAATTGGAGCATTACTCTTTAGGGCAGCTGCCCGAGCAGCTGATGAACTCGGTATAGTTTTCGACACTGAACGAGGTGACCACAACTCTGTCACCGAGTTGGAACCTGTTCAGCAAAAAGCTCAGATAAAAGCCGCAGAGATTACCTTACTTTTGCGGAAATACAAGGATAAGTCAATGCATGGGGTCTTCTTCAATAACATTGGAGACCTTGGCTTATCAAAGCGCCTGACCTTCGCTTTTATTAGGTCGAGTGGGCTGAAGTCGGAAACTGTGGGGTTCATCATGGCTTGCCAGGATGGTGTCTTCAACACCTTAGTCTACCGCAGTCGCGTAATTGGTATAGAGGTTCCTGACACAAGGTGCAGGGCCTGCCGCGAGGCGCTCGAGACCCTAATGCACTTGCTATCAGCATGTCCAGCATATGCGGTCTCGGCCTATATCCATCGACATAACGCGGCCCTAAGAGTGCTATATTACCATCTACGGCACTCTTACGGTATTGACGAGATACCGGTGTTGCCCTACGCTCCGGGGGTATTGAATCCGTTGTGGGGAACGAGAAGTGCCGAATTTATTGGAACTATTCGTTCCCCACCCTCAGGCTCATGCAAGCTAATAAGTCTGATGTGGTCCTTCTCGACCACCAGAGCAAAACGGTATTTGTCGTGGAGTTTTCAGCTCCTGGAGAGACGAATATTGTCAGAAAAAGGGAGGAAACATTCCTTTTTCGGAATTGGAATTATATTAGCAACCTTCCAAACATCTGGAAAAATATAAATAAAAATATGTTCAACTTCATCAATACAGTGTGGTATTACTAAAGAAATCATCTTGATATTTATATTGTCAATACCTAAAGCATTACATTTTATTTCTTTGATAGCAGTCAAAATATCATCATCACATATATCGGTGAGGGAAAAGTTCATAGGCGCGTTCAATTTATGATTATCGGTCATTCATTGGAAGAATAGATGCACTCAGAGGTGTAAGTTTCAAGGCAGGTTGGTGTGAATAATACTGAACTTCTATCCCAACACCAAGCCGTTTTTATCAAAACCTCGACACCTGTTTCAATCACCAAATGATTTCCAGGAGAAAGATTGAGTATAATCTTCCACTAATATTCATCACTACACCAAAGGTTCCAACCAGGGCATCACAAGTGTATGTTGGTATGATCCTCATAAGAATAAAAGTGCATATTCATTATTCTTTGTTGTTGTTAGAGTAAAAACTTGGAACAGCACGTTGGTGATAGATTATCAGAAGAAAACTACCATGAATCAGTTGGAATGCTTGTGGAGAAATTATATTATTATAAATACTGGCAGCTACTCAATGTTATCACTATCGTAGCTTGAAGCTTTCTCAGCAGGTAACTCACCCAAAATTAGATCAGATGGAGCTGTTTGTGTGGTAGTTCTTGGTGGTGAGGTTGTTGTTGTTGTTGTAGTAGTTGTAGTAGTCAACATTTTCATTTCTGAAAAAGAATTGTCAATCAAATTCAAATCAACAATTGAACTGCTTCTCTATCCAAAATGAACTCTGACCTGATCATTGTGATTATTTTTGATACAATGATACAACCATACTGATCTCGAATAAAGCAGATGATATTATTAAGTAACATAACTTCATGGTATAGCGCAAACTCACTTTTCTTTAATACTGAGAAAACACATATTATGAGGTATCATCACGTTCAGAAAAATATTTCTAATATAACAGTTAGGCATCACAATTGATGATTGTGTAAACTAGATATCTCACTGTTATAGAAAATTAAATTCTCTTTGTTTTGTGTTTCGACATCTCAGAGAAGTAGTCACATGTGAACAATTACTCATGTTATATCATGCTCATGTGGCTTCAAGAATACGATATGGGATCCTCCTTTGGGGTGGATCCACACTAGCACAAGATGTTTTCTCGGTACAAAAAAAGGTTCTGCGACTTAGTGCTAGGGTACTCTGTACATACTCATGTAGAAATATCTTCTCCCACTGCAGACTTTCAACAATGGTAAGTTTATTTATCTTAGAGCTATGCATTTATGTATTTGATGATAGAGTAGACTTTGAATGTGAGTATCCACAGCATTAATACCAGACAAAATAAAGACAAATTTTATATTCCATTTTATGAGTACAAGGTGACAGAAAACTGCTTGTTACCTGGGACCAAAACTTTTTTATAATCTTCCACAAGAGATTAGGGCAGGGGTCTCCAAACTTTGAAGCCTTCGGGCCACAATGATTTTTTCAGTTTGTTCCAAGGGCCAATTTCTACCCTTAACTATATTCCTAGACTAGGATAGTCGCAAAGTGCGTGACCTGAGCAAACTCACGCTTTTTTGCATTTCAATTATTATTGTGTATTGTGACACTTATCGACATCTCGTGGCGAGTAGTGGTACTATGTACTATCTTTTTCAGCTACCCGCTAGGTGGCATTAGGCGTAATTAAATATTTTGAATTACCGCGTTGGTTCGAGAAAGTTCTGGTACTAGCTAGTATATTCCAATCACCTCGAGATGGCAGTAATTATTGCACATTGAAAGGCTAGCGGCGCAACTGCGAGTTAGTCTGCGTAGGAAAGGCGAAGGAAGCGAAACTTTCTATTGTGAAATAAAGTAACACCAGTCAATAAAAGTATTTTGATTTGACTTATTGTTTTCATGTGTGATTTGTTAGTATGGAAAAAAAGCGAAAAATCGACAGTGAATGCAGAACGTTTCAAAAAAATTGAACTTTCAATATTTTGTGATTGAGTCCAGTAATAAGGCGCTATGTTTAATTTGTAATGAAACCATAGCTGTTCTCAAAGACTATATACTCCTGTATACTCCAAGTATACAGGAAGTTCGCGGAAGGAAAATTATGAAGTTTTGAAACGCGGACTCAAATCGCAGCAATCTTTGTTTACCAAAGCGAATACTGAATAAGAGTCTGCAACTCGCGCCAGCTTTCGTGTGGCTCTTGAAATCAGAAAACGTGGCAAACCATTCACCGATGGAGAAATGATAAAAGAATGCTTGATTGCAGTAGCCGAAGAAATATGTCAACAAATTAGGTATCATTGGAAAGATAATTTTGTGCCCTTTCAAATGATATATCACTCGACCCCACTTTCTATTTAAAATTTCAGGGTTGTTAGACACCCTCGCTAGGGGGTTGAAGGCACAGGTAGGAAAATACATGTAAAATGTGTCCCCCTCAAAAGCAAAATTGACCTGTACGAGTACTTTTGCGTTAAGTTACAAAAAAAGGAGAAAAGCAAGGTGCATACTTTTCGTTGGACCACTCTGTATATTGGCTGAACTAGTGAAAGCGGAAATGGAAGTTCGAAGTAATGATATACACCAAGAAACATTGTCAACTACCTTCAAACAGAAATAAGTAAACAAATTGAAAAATCTAGTTGTGATATGAGGAAGACAGTATTGGTCCATTTTTTTGTAGTGACAATATTATTGTCCTTTCCCAAATATTCCCAAAATATTGTTCAGGAACCATAACAATATCATTTCTACTTTCGAATGAGTTCAAAACAGGTCACATAAAATATGCATTAATTCTATCCGTGTTGTCCTTTACATGCGAATGTTCAATATTCATGAACTAGTTCAATACGTCTTCTAATTTCAGTAGTGCTTAAATCGTTATATAAATTGTTCAGTCAAATCCTCTTTATTTGACCAGCTAATCACGGCTAGTCCAAATGTTACAACTTGGAGATTACCGTCTGCTCGCCTGGGTTATAATCTATATATTGGAATTCGGCATTCGACATTGTTCGTGAATGTAAAGGAACGTTAAAATACCAATAAAACTGGAATTTACTCACCGTTGTCTCCGAATTTCGAAGTGGAACTGCTTTTGAAACTGCTGGTTATTACTGCAAATGAAAGTTATGTATATTACTAGAAAGTTACGACTGCATTATTATTCCAATGAGTATTTCACTCATAAAAATGTATGAGTCGGTATATTCAATAAGTATAATTTTTAATCTTCCTCTTGAATATGATGAATTGGTGACCGAAACACGTGTCGGGATGTTGAAAATAACAGTTTGGTATTGTGATAAATCTCCAGTGATATTCATAATGTTCAGTATATCCAACAATTCAGAAATTTGATATATATTTTATCACTTTGCTTTTATACAAAAAACGTTAATTCAGTTATGTCAGTATAGGCATGAATGAAGTATACCTGGCAAACGTATTTGTGAAATGACGGTGATTTAATGGTTCCATGAAACATCTGATTATGTAACAAATTACACTGGTAATGGGATGATCAAAAACACTATTTATAACTGACTTCATAACTGACAGGTTTTCAACTTCAAAACTGACGAAATTCATTACAATCTTTGAAACCATATTTTGTTTCCTTGGGGGTGGAAATTCCTGATTCCCTTTCTTGATGCTCATTTACGCTATACANTTTAATTTCTCCCAAGTAATAGAACAGTCCTGAACAGTCCACAAATTTTGAAGTGACAGTTTTACAAAATTCACAACTTTTCGACTTGGAAAAGTTGGAAAATTTCGGGCCGTGAAGATAGAAAAAATAATAGTAGAAAACAATAAGCACAATATTATTTAAGTGTTGTTTCCTTCCATTTGGATTGAATATTCCTATACATGGATATGGTGGAAGACCAAGGACCACGGTCCAAAGTAGAATAATTCCCAAAATCATTTTTATTATTACCAACATTTATTTCTGTTTGTGCATACCCTAACGGGCATAGCATTCAGCTAATCTTTGGATAGCTAAGTGAGAAAATTAGGTAACTAATCTCTCGGCTTTAATTTTTTCGAAAATTGGAAATTTTGATGGTGGAGTTGGGAAAATTTGGATTCCCTCTCCCCCCTGGTTTTTATTTCCACTACGGCCCTGGTCACAGGTCATTTCATTTATCATGTAGTAACATTGCTATATTCCAAACCGTGAGAGATATAAATGAAAAATAAATGGGGAGAAGGTTAATATCCTGAGGAACAGTACAAGGGAAAAAATTACAGGAACATAAGCCCTTCTCTACTCATACTGGGAAAACAAAAAATGATATTTTTGTTCTATTCATGAACAGAATTGTTATCTCAGAAAATATTTATTGCACGAGGATGGTCCTGACCTCAACATGAAGATGACAGTACTGATAAGAGAAAGCTAGTAAATTTCGTTGATCAGTTACTCATCAAAGTTTCAGTCATTTTGGAAGCGCAGTTGTAATGTAACAGTCGTTTGAGTGAGTTAATGTGGACAAAATCTAGTATTGAGCCGTCATGAGTTGGATTCTGTGTATGGGGACTCTGCACCATCATTCACCACAGGCAAAGCTGAATTTGAACGTATTCGTAAGAGCTTGGGCAACGATGAACGTTTGGGACGTCCAAACACTGCAACTATCGGCAAAAGCATAGCCAAAGTTCACCAAAGGGTGCTAGACGACCGTCGAATTGAAGTGAGAGAGATAGCAGAGGTTATGAACATGTCAAACGATCGTGTTTGTCACATATCGCGTTTGCTCATGTTAGACCGAAAACTTGTTCGATTGAACATTTCCAACGCTCTGTGAGCGCACTTTGGGCATGATAGATCCAAGTTTTGGCGCCGATTAATTGATGTAAATGGCACTTGGATACACCATTATACTCGCGAAACAAAAATACAGTCAACATATTGGACTGCAAAGAAGAAACCATAAAAGGAAAAACCGTTTTTTCGGCTGGGAAAGTTGGAGCGACTGTTTTTTGGGATAGTCATGGAGTTAACTCAATCATTTGTTTGAAGGTGATTGACGATGTTTCATGATGGATTTCACTAGTTCGGACTTCCATTGTCTACTATATAAAATGATTTGAAATCCCTGAAACAACTAAAAAAGAAAAATCAAAAATGAATAGCTGAAAATAACAATTATATCAAGCAAAAAAACGTGAAATGAAATAATAGTGGAATAAAATACAAGACTGAAAGCACGTGCTTGAAGATCCGCCAAGATATGGAGAATACCCACAACAGAAAGTGGGGGAAGTTAGTGAGGAAACAATGCCCAAATACAGACCGAAAACAGGACAACTATGAAGCCGCCAACGTCATCAACGTGAGTTCCCACCCGCTCACGGGAATGGAGGAATCCTTGTTGAGGAAAGGCCTAAATTTCGCAATTGCGCCAACATCTGTGCCCACTTTGGAGATGATTGCTGCAGTGGAATCCACCAGTTCCCTTATTGATCAGACCGAGGCAGAAGAGTTCAGATGGAAAATTAGAGAACGGCTACAGAAGATCGGAGAGGTTCTTCAGAAGGGACGATACACAAAGATCGTACGGGACCCTACTGCTTCAATTGAAAGGAAGTTGTACCAGATTTTGAAAAAACACCAAGTCTATTTTTCGGACAAGGAAAGATCATCGCTAACACTGCACCACAGTAAGCCTCCTCACTTGTATTAGACGTTTTGGTGAAGAGGACCGACACTAAGTGGGAAACATCTGTATACCGAAAACCCACTCATACGAGATAGTATCTGAACAACGAATCCAACCACCATCAATCGACTGAGAGAAGAATCATCAAGACTCTATTAGACCGTGCTTTTGGGCTTTGTAATACGAAGGAAGGTCTCGAGAAGGAATGACTACTCCAAAACGATGGTAGAGGAGACTTCGGCTGACAGACATCAGGAGCCTCGCAAGGAAGAGAAGCCGTCACAACCAGTGCTTGCACTTTCCTACATCGGAGGATTATCGGAGAGGATAAGAAGCATTGGTTCCAATTACAACATCAGAACCTGCTTCAGAGCCGGTAACACTATCCGTAGCATCCTCACGAAAACCAGGCCACCAAACGCGGACTGCGATTCCATGAATTGCATTTACTGGATACCCTGTGAGTGCGTAAAATCCTATAATGGTGTAACTAAGAGGCCATTGAATGTTCGCATTGCCGAGCACAAGAAACACACACAGCGAGGGTAAACCAGCAAATCAGGAATAGCAGACCATGTTTGGACCTATCGACACAACATCGAGTGGTCCCAAGCTGAGATCTTGCACAGAGAGGAACATTGGTTTAGGAGAAAATTCAAGGAAGCCGCATACATGTTGTCCAACAACGTTTTCAGCCAAGCCAACGTAGAAATACGCAACAAATATAAATGTTATATTCAGCTATTCATTTTTAATTCTTCTTCTTTAGTTTTTTCAGGGATTTCAAATCATTTTATATAGTAGAGAATGGAAGTTCGAACTAGTAAAATTCTTAATTCAATCAATTATCTTCAAAGAGGAGAAAACATCACAGCAGCATACAACGTATCATTACTTGACGAGTTGAAGACAGAACTTGCGGAAAAATGGCAACATTTGCAGAAAAAAATTCGTTTAACCGAGACAACGCACTATCTCACACCTCAGCGGTTGTCATGGCAAAAATCCACGAATTACGGTTTGAACTGCTTGATCATCCGCCTAACTCACCAGATCTAGACTCAAGCGACTTTTTTCGTTCCCGCATCTGAAAATTGCGCTTGGAGGACAGACAGTTCCGTCAAATGAAGCGGATAATCATTTCACCGAGTACTATTTGGATGTGTATACTTTGTTGAAAAATGAAAAAAAAACTGAAAAAATTGTTTGTATCTCCGTTAGGTAGAAAACTTCTCGAACCAACTCGTATTCCAAATGAACTATACCGACGTAATGATACATTTTTGATTGAACGTTTCGTGTCAACATGGCCACCATCAACTATTTTTTTGAATACGGACCTGTCTGTTCCATTTCATATATCGACCAAGCAAAAAGGTCGCTTCATCTGTCCATAAAATTTGATAAGGAAAATGATAATTTTCTTCTTTTTCCACTTGAAACCAAAAAGAAAAATACAAGCGCATATCGCAATGTATTGATAAATTTCGGTTTATAAGGCGTAAATTTATTTTTGTGTAAAATACGTCGTACACTCTCTCGGTTAACATCTGTTCTCTCTGCAATATCTTGAATACTTGAATATTCGTAATAACTTCAACATGCATCGATTATCAAGTAATCGACTTGAAGTTTTCAAGTCCAAATATTTAGAAAACGGTTGCTTACAGCGACTAGTAACAAGGGTAGCTTATTTACGTAGATATGATAGAGGATTCGATTTTTTTACTGAAAAAGGTGTCAGAAGAAGTATGCCCAAAAAAATTATGAATATTTAAAAAAGAAAAAGACGTATAGGTGACGCCCCCTACGAGTAAGAGCAATAAGAACGTCAGGTTCGAATTCGACACCTCAAAAACCTGCTATTACCAAGTTTTGTTCAATTAAGTTCAGTATTTCGAAAGTTATTTGAAAAAAACGAAAATAAAAGAAGAACTTCAACATCCTGAATCTTGGAAACGAAGCGTTTCCGGACATACATTTATTTGAACAATCCATATTAGAATATTATGAGGAATCACCTCCTGAAGTTTGTCAAAATACTTTTGAATCACCCTGTAGACACAGACACAGTAGAATAAATACTTATTAACATAAGGAACTACAAAAACGCATGACATAGAAACGAACAAAACTTTCGATACAACCAGATAATTTGAAAAAAAACTCACAAAAATTCCCCGTCAAATCAACGTTTCGAAAGTCTTTATGGGACAGATAATGAAGATCAAATGAAATTTTGTCAAACATTCATGTATGAAATTACTGTTCTAATTTGTTATTCTAGAAAACTCCGGGAAATGGCATGATAAAACGAGAAAGAATAAAATGAATTTATGTTTGCGAATTGTCAACTTCAGTGTTCTGTTCAAAGTTATGCAGACCGTAACAAGGGATGTTGAAAACTTTCACGAGTCCAACCTTATGTAATTCGGCAGACGAATGTTACACAAA